CCTCACTTCTGCCTCTCTTTTTTCTACTGGCTTTCTGACCAACTGCAAGAACACTGTCTTCTAACTTACCGCTTATACTAAAGCCACTCAAACCTTCTGGACTAAAGGGACAAAGCTCCAAAATCCAGCTGCATGCCTGCAACTGAAGCATGTTTGGGATTCAACTTTAACATCAAAAATATAAATTAAGAAGAGGAATATTGCAAAACTATACAGATGTGCTCCAATCAGCAACTCTCGTCTGTTGATATTTCCTTTCTAATCATGGTAGAAATGCTTTACCTTTTCTTTTATTAGCAATATGCAACATTGGGAACAAAATTAATAAATATATCATCCCCATTTTTGCTGTTTTACTACAGAAAAAAACAGACTGACAAGAAAGTCAATGAAGACCACGTTTGTATTTATATTTTCGTTCTTTTTTTTTAAGGGTTAACATTTTTGGATTTTTGTTTTGACTGGTATTTAACTTCCAAGTCATAGTTAGAATGTAAGTTATAATAGTTCTCGATTCTGCATGTTGCCATATATCTTATCATCAATGATATATGGATGTTTTTGAAGATGGATTGACATATTAAGCATCTTGTCAAGCCTATGACGTATTATTTTTGACCTAACTTACATATGACCCCTGATTCAAGTTCCCATGTTGCATATTCATACTTTTATTATTAATTTTTAAGCCATCCTTTCATCTTCTTTTTGATTTCCCATTGTAATGTCTCTTTTTTTTGGGAACCATTTGGTTTTTTCCCCTATGTTGTTTTCTCAAGGATGGAGACTCTGATAGTGGGGATGACTCAGATAAGAGGTCCTGTGAAGAGAGCTGGAGACTGATAACGTCCTTAAGGGAAAAACTGCCTCCCAGCAAGCTCCAGACTATCGTGAAAAAGTGTGGGTTACCCAGCAGTGGAAAGAAAAGGGAGCCAGTCAAAATGTACCAGATTCCTCAGCGCCGTCGAATCACCAAGGACTCAAAATGGGTGACCATCTCTGACTTGAAGATTCAGGCAGTCAAAGAAATCTGTTACGAAGTTGCTCTTAATGATTTCCGACACACTCGGCAAGAAATCGAGGCTTTGGCGATCGTAAAAATGAAAGAGCTTTGTGAAAGCTACAGTAAAAAAGACCCCAATGAGCGGGACTCGTGGAGGGCTGTGGCTCGGGATGTTTGGGACACCGTTGGAGTTGGTGATGAGCGCATTGAGGATGTCATTACCAATGGGTCTCGACCCGGGGGAGCTGTTATGGATGAGCTTAAAGTGCACATTGACAAACTTGAGGACATCTTGCAGGAGGTGAAGAAACAGAACAACATGAAGGATGAGGAGATTCGTGCTCTGCGGAACAAAATGGTAAAAATGGAAAAGGTGCTTCCCCTAATAACTCCAGATGGCCAAGAAAAGCCCCCCCAGATGGATATATCTACCAGAACGCCAAGCCCCCTTGAAGGGAAGCCTCCTGTGCCTGTGAAGCCAGAGGAAGAGGATGGTGATTCACAAACAGGCCAAAGTACGGCAGAGGACTCCAACCTACGGCGAGGTAACATGCGTTGGATGCGTCAGGATCAGCTACGTCTCAAGAACCTTCAGCAACAAGAGATCTCCAAGCAGCTCCGCCGACATCCTGGACCACATCGCTTCATACCACCAGAAGATCGTAAGCTGCGCTTCCCCTTCAAAAGTAACCCCAAGCACCGCAACTCATGGAGTCCTGGTACTCATATCATAATTACAGATGAGCAGGTTGTTGAGCTGAAGGTGGCCAAAGAAGCTCTAGAGGAAGAAGATGTTGAAAACCAGGTAGTAGAAGGAGGACTTGAAAAAGCGGCTGCTTCACTTATTCAAGTGACTCCTTCAGTACCTAACCCAGCAGTTCAGCACACAAACAAAGACTTGGAGCAAGGTCTAGGTCAGGGTCACAGACATAACTATAGGAACAATCAACATCAGCAGTCAAATGAACGAGTTCGCAGCAACTCTTTCAATTACCGCCAGCGTCCCTCTGGTTCCATGGAGTCTCTCAAATACTCTGAAAACAACAGGAGGCACAGCCAGGTTTTCTACCAGCCTCGCCAAAACCAGCAATATCCAGTATATCCCCAGCCACACCACTACCAGCACCAGCAACAGTACCAGTATCACAACCTAATGCACACAGATGGCAGCTTCAGTCACTACCAGCAGCAGCATCACACTGACCATCCTCATCATCCTGTTGGCTTTCAAGCACCTCCACGAATGCGCAGACAAATGTCAGCTCCTAATCTAAAAGCCAGCAGAGAGACAGCAGTGTGAATAGGATTGGAAAAGGTTGAACTAGATTGAAATACTTTTAGTAGGCAAGCACATTACAGATCACAACAATAGAATCATGAGTCAAACTGAACAGTGACCTTTGCACTTGTTTATTGGTTGATCCAAAAGTATTGTTTGTACTATAGACATTTTATCATCATTGTCATCGTAATACATGCCATTTTATCCTTTTTTTTCTGCATTGTCTTTGCTGTTATTGGCCTTGGGAGAGCCGTCATAGAAACTGAAGATAAGAACAGATCCTAATGGGACTGTGGTTGTCGAGGAAACATGTCTTCTTGTATTTGTGTTAGCATGTGTGGCATTTTCTATATCATCTTCACATACGCCAAAATCCTCATCATGGTTGGACTTTGGAGTTTACATTTGGCAATTTTAATGTTGACGTGTCCTGAATGTTTTCAGCCACTATGGTAGGCACACATTGCAGTGTTCTTTTAAACAAACAATTTCATCATTTTTGCAGTTTAAGTAACAAGAAAAATCAAATGAAACGGCTTGTTTATTAATCTCCGTTTACCATGTTAAAATGCTTGCATTACTTGACTGGGTCTGCATTTTTTCCGCTTATGTCTTGTGCCGTATTAAACATATATTATCATAAATCATTATACTTTGTTAAGAAATTAAAGAATATGTTTTATGCACTCCTTCAATCAAACTTCTCAGACTACTTCCACCTAATTTGTAACAAAATTCCTTTATTTCAATCAGAGCATAAAAGCTAAAAGGTAGTGAGTGAGGAGTGTAAATATAAGGAGGACTAAACATTTCTAAATCGATAATCATCTACACCACTTTGACACAGAAACTGGTTTGTTGCTTAACGGTGGTCTTCAGACCTCAGACCCCAGGCCAGTCTTGTTGATAAATTGTGCATTGCACAAAGCAAATGCAAGCCACATTTTAACCCTGAGAACAATGTTAAAGGTAGAAAATAATGCATAATTTAAATAATAAAAAACACCATTGGGTAGAGAGACTCAAAGGTCAGATAAAAGTTTCAGCAGTGTTCTGTTGCAACTAAAGAGAAAAGAAAGCATAAAAGTTAAACACACGGCAGCGACAAATGTCACTTTGATTTAACTAAAACTAACTCAGTGTTCAATGTTTTTAGTTACCCACTTGATTCATTGATCTCATACTATTTCTTTCTTCTTTTTTATATATATATATTTCAAATATATAACTGCCACTCACGTATTTAAATATTTTGCACTTCGTGGAGTCTCGATAAGCTGTACTATAGGTTGATGAAAATACTAATTTTTATGTTTAGGAATAACTTGCTGTATCCTTAAAGCATTATAAACACACTTACAGTTTTGTTTTCATTTATAACTTTTTTCTTCTGTTTCGAATGTCACATTTTTCAACAAAATATTTATCCAACCAGTTTCTTCCTGAATAGCTCTTGAGGAGATTGGTGGCTTTTTAACTTTTATTCTAAGACAAGGAAGTAACATTCGAAAACGTTCACAGATCATGAACTGAGTTCTGATTTCTGTTCCATGCTGTATTAATATTGTTATTAGTTGTATTGGATCACCAAGTGAAAACACAGAGTCTTTTGTGTTTCAAATGAATGTCCAACAGAGTATCGTCATGGCTCCCAAAGACTCGCCTTAAAAATGCTGGAGTGTGGACAAAGACTTGAAGTGCCTGCATTGTACTGATGTGACTGTGAAGTTTAGTTGCATCAAATGCTACACATTCGTACATACATTGTTATGGTCTGTGCTGTTCTAGTTTTTAGTGGCTTCTCTGCTTACACTGCTGCTGCTTATGTTTAATTTTTCGTTTGAATTAACAGTATTTTCTTCATTATATTTTAAACCATTACACTATATAATCTGCCTCACTTTATGTAACAAAACAATATAACAACGTATAGAAACTTCAACCCACTTTATCATAACGTACATTGCATGTAGTAGCTGTTCTTCATCTCTAATTAAGAATAGTATTTAAAGCATGCACTCTGGTTGACAATGACAGGGTAAGCTGGAGAGTAAAACAGCTGTATGTTGTTGAAATATACATATAGAGTATGCATTTGTTACACCCATAGACAGACGGTATAAGAAATGGATGTAGTTCACTGGTTGCACAAGTGAAGTCTAAACCACTAGAGACAATGCTAAATATGATTGTATTAGTTTTATTATATTGTTAAGGGTGTCATGTGACTTGATTATTACATCAGGTTAGGAGTGTAATTAATGTAGAAGTTACATCATGGGTGAGAGTTAGCAATACACAATAACAATTGGTGGTTGCAGATGCATGTCAAACACACACAAAAAAGCTATTTCACTTTGCAACCAAATGGCTTTGTCCATGTCTTATATAGGCTGCATGGTCAGGTATCAGTTTAATGTTGTCTGTCTGCTCTTTGAGTCTGAATTATCAAGTTCCTGGTTGGCTGTTGTACTGAGGTGTGTTGCTCCCTTGACCAAACACACTGTAAATATTGAAACAGTGTTGTTCACCAGAGGTTTGGATATACTGAAACACGGGGCGTGTTTTTGAAGATTTATTTTGAAAGAATAATTGAAATAAAATGACATGCTCCATGTGCAGTCATTGGTTATGAATGAATGGTATTTGTGTTAATTTTTTAATAATTAAGTTAATATAGTTAATCTTAAATGTAATTTGAAATAATCAGTTCAGATGTGATGATAAAACTCTTTTCCTTGAGTACAAGATGTTAGATTTGAAAACACTACTGTATAGCTACAGTATATCCATGGATTTTAATTAGAATATATTTTAAGATTATACTAGTATTATTTATAGAGGTGAGAACTAAAATGGAATTTTCTAGACTTCTGTTTGGTTGGATTAAACTTGCATTGAACACGTCATATTTCTAACACATCAATCTAAAATAGCAGATAGCAGAACGAGAGAAAGTCGTAGTGACTTTCTGCAGCAGAGAGGAGGTGAATAGCAAATTAGAAAGGCTGCGTTGTCTTCCCAGAAGACAGTGAACAAGGGATGAGGTCACTGGGACCACAGCCCGCCCTCCTCTCAGAATGGCACCCACTCATTGGATTACAGCTGACTGAGACTTTAACAGCACTTCCTCTCTACTCCAGCCATTCAGCCAGTTCTTTTGTTATATAAAGCTTTATTGATAATACTTTAGATGCTGATAAAAATAAATAATTAAATAAACCAATATGAATGCTTTTTTAAGGTTTTCAGTCTGTGTACTGTCTGTGTACAGGCTTTGTTTTCACCATTATTTTGTAACTATTTAGCTATTCACACACTTTTGACAGGAGACGTTTGACAATAGGTTTTATTTTTTCAAGTTAAATAAAGTAAAAGCCTAAGTGGAGACTTTACTGAAGTGTTTGTGATCACATCTTGAGCTCCTCTGTTGCTGCCACAGTCGTCCATGTTCTCTTCCATGTGTGTTGATGTACAGGTCTATGAGAGCAAATTACAAGAACTTCAGAAACAAGTAGAGACGCGTTCCCTGATTGCTGAGACGCCAGATGAAGAAGAGCTGGAGGAGGAGGAGGAAGAGGAAGGTGCGTATTTAAGATCTGAGGTGCATTTTTCCCCCCCAACATTGCATCCAGTAGGCTTTCACATTTACCGCTGTCTTTTTATGTATATTTTCCCTGTTCAGAGCCTAAACCTGTGGAATTTTCAAATGGTATGTTCCCAACCTGAACTCAGATTATTTGACATCTAAATAATATTCCTCTACTAATTCAAAGTATTCATTCAAACCACTTTAGATTTACATAACAGTAGGCATTAGGCATTGAATAATATGGTTTTAAATCTTTTAAAAGATGCTACTAATGTATGATCACTTTTAGCTAATTAAAATCATTAAGTGTTTTTTTGTTGTTATTTTCAGTAGACAATATTTTCTAATCATCATTTCTAATCACTATTAAATGTTAACTCAGATTTTCAAATGTGCATTGCTGCTTATCTGAAAGTCTTGTAACGACAGAGAAAATTACCCTTTTTAAAAATAAAAAAACATGTTTATTATTACCCTTTTTAAAAATAAAAAAACATATATTTATATTAGTTGATACTTATGTCACCTTTTGATTAAACAGAAAACATATGACTAAGAATTAGACCCTTTTTTAGTTTGTTTTTCTATAGAGCAGTAAGTCTGTCATTTATGTATTTACTGTCAGAACATTACATTAACAGAGACATGACAGTTGACTTGGTATATTGGCGCTTTAGATTGAAATAAAATAAGAAAAAACACAAGATTATACATACATAAAGAAATGAGCTATTATAAACATAGTGAAGACAAAATGAGTAAATAAGGTGCAGTGAGTTGGTGTTTAAGCTGAAATAGAAGTAGAAAGAGAAGGGGAGAAGGTCTGGGTCGCTGTTTGTAAAGCTGACAGAGAGGTCGGCTCTTGTGGATATAGATAAGAGTTCTTTGTGTATATAAAAAATTATTTTCTGCATCCTCTTTTATGCTGTGTTAAACCCCCAACTCACTGGTCACAAAGATATTCAACATTGGACTGTAATATGTTAAGTACAGTAGAGTTGTGTATTAATTGTTAAAACAACAACTAGACTTGATTGTCTTAGTTAATGTCCATTTACTGTGCATTTAATATGTGTAGGGCATTTTTGCATTATGTGAACACAGAATGTGTCTTCTGACTCTCTGCAGTGCCCTGGACTCAGCATGAGTTTGAGCTGGCACAGTGGGCCTTCAGGAAGTGGAGGTACCATCAGTTTACCTCCCTCCGTGACCAGCTCTGGGGAAATGCTGTCTATCTGAAAGAAGCTAATGCCATTAGTGTGGAGCTGAAGAAGAAGGTAAATGAAGACACTGACCTTTCATTTTACACCATGACAACGGCTTAGTTTTGGTTCAGCTTGGAATAATTTTAGGGTCATTTTAAAGATGCATAAAATAGAAAGTTAACTTTTGTAAAATCTTCAGCTACGCTTTTGTGGCTGACAGAACTCCTTTGTCTTTTGCCCTAAATAATCATACGCCCTGTTATTTCTAATGTAATTACTGCTAAGATAAAAGTAATTATTAATCATGAAGAAAAGACTTTTCTTCCTAAATTGATGTTAGTCATCATGCATTTGGACTTAATACAGAGTGACATACAACAATCATAATATGTGCCAATAATTTAATTCAGCCCCGAGTGATGACCTGAAAATCTGTCATCTGCCCGTTTTTTCCATCAAAATACTTGTGATTTATGGACTTGTAGTTTTTAGAACTGTTTCATTTACAAGATTTATACAGCTAACATGACCTCAGGTGACATAGGGTTTTATTTATTTTTATCTTTCCTGTGTCCTTAATTTAATGTCACTCTGGAATTTGAAAAGCCACAAAATGGCTTTTCATTGTTTTGATTGACCTTTCAACCTTGGTGTCTCTGCAGTGAAGATACATTTTACAACCAAAGATGAGCAATAGCTGCAGTGTGTTTCATTTGTCTTTAGGCTGACAGAAATTTTCTTTTTAAATTGATGTCTTCTGCCGCAATATCATTAATATTGTAAGAAATAAACCACACAGCTTGTTGTGATTATTTTGAACTAGTCATAATTATGTAAGTTTGCTGTTGTACTGGCCTCATTTTAAATTTTATTTACATATGGACTGAGGATGTTTTTTTGTTTTTTTTTTTACTGTGGTAAAGTTTTTTCTGTGGATGACAATGCAAATCTTTTAAATCTTTTCATTTATTTTAACTCTTAGGTCCAGTTCCAGTTTGTCCTGCTCACAGACACTCTTTACTCACCACTACCTCCTGAGCTCCTTCCCCCGGAGCCTGAGAAGGAACGAGACTCCAGGCCTTTTCCCCGCACTGTTGTGGCTGTGGAGGTTCAGGACCTGAAGAATGGAGCCACGCACTACTGGTCCCTGGATAAACTCAAGTAAAAGACCAGTTTGAATTAATTAAAAAATCAGCTAGATTATTTAAGACAATTCTATAGTAGGGCAAAGTATGACTTCATGTCATGTAGCCTACGTTATGAGATAAAAAAAAGAAATACACAAAGCAGATGCCAAATTTGAACATTTTTAATCTGAAAACTGAGTTAAAAAAACAAGCATCATCTTATAGTAACTCAGACAATAATAACAATAACTTTTTTTCTTTTATAAAAAATAGAGTCTCTGTGAGAACACAAATCCAATAAAGGTTGTTTTGGTAGATGTGACCAGAAGCCTGATATGTGTTCTTCTATCAGCATCTCAGTCTCCCAACCATGATGTTATCTGTCTGTCTGTCTGCTGTTCTGTCTGTCCCCTCACTGTACAACAATAATACTGAGGGCACCCTGTGATCATGTGCAGGCAGAGGCTTGAGCAGATGAGAGAAATGTACGACCGTGCTGGTGAAATGGTCTCTGGACATCAGGAGGATGGAGAGGGTTCGCTGACAGGAAATGACCCCTTTTATGACCGGTTCCACTGGTTTAAACTAGTTGGCAGGTACAGTATATAACCTAACCTGTACAATACCCAGTCACTTCTCATGGTAACAATACACATATTTAAATGCTAGATTTAGAATTTTTTTCTTTTTCATTCATTTGTCATTTTCTCATTTCATTTTTGTTCATCATTGGTGGTACAGATATTGTCATTGTTTTGGTTTTCATTCCATTCTGTTGGAATGATTGCATTTATCGTTTTTGTTTGATGATTTCATCTTTTCTGTGATGAGTGTATTCATTTTATTTGTCGTCACTTTTTTTTATATAACTACATGTATTTTAAATTTTTCTGACTATTGCTATGTTTGTACAAATCTTTCATGTTTGACTTAATAATTATAAACATAGACATTGCCTTTGTGTTTTTAGAGCTAAATATTTAATTATTAGTTCAGTCACGAGGCTGTTTAACTCTTGTTTTACTGTACTGTCATCATCCCTTACTTCTGGCCACTGCCCCAAACCATCAACTCTCTCAGCTCCCCCATCTTTCATGGCTGTGTTAACGAACACCTGGCTGACCGCACGCCGTCGCCGACCTTCTCTACCACCGACTCTGAGATCACAGAAATGGCTGACGAGCGACAGAGCGAGATGTCTGACCTGATTGACGATGAAGCATTTGTGGATGACACCAGCTCTGATGCTGGCACCGAGGAGGGCTCAGACATCTTCAGTGACGGCCAAGACCCCTTCTACGACCGCTCCCCCTGGTTCACTCTGGTGGGAAGGTTGGTGACTGGTAGTAAAATTACCACCTATACATGCCAGGGCAGGGGTGTGGGTGAATGATGGATTGTGTCAGTGAAGTAAACCTCACACCCAGAGTAAAGTTAGATAAAAATGTGATATACAGTCGAAGGCAGTGGTAGTATGCAGTACCTTCTCTTGCTTTTTAAGGCACAGACAAGTACCTTAAAACTAACATTTTTGTATGTACTTGACCTGTGTGAAATAAAAAACACTGAAGCAACCTAATCAACGTAATTTGGCAACATGCTTCAGGCAATACAATTCAGACTATGGTTTAGGGACAGTGTAATTTTGTTATAGTATTTAGTCGTAAAAAAATCTAATCCAAATAAAGTTCAGGGTTTCACAGAAAACAGGTGCTATTAAGAGATGTTTTATTATTTATTACATTGTACCAGCTATACGCAGCAATTCTTGTGAGGTTCTTATAAACTTCTGTTTATTTGGTTTAACATTTGACCAAATCATGAAAAATCCATCATTAATCATACCGGCCCACTTCTTTCCTGCCGTGGCTCATCCCAGTCCAAATCACTGCACTGACTGCATTAACTCCCATCTGTGTGATGGTCATGTTCATGTTGACGACCTGTCTGCCATTTTATGTATTTTATAATTTTGTTGTTCTTTAAGCATTTTTTGTTTTATTTCATTTCATTGTTATTCTGTGCATTTTTTTGTTTCAATGACCTTGTTTGTTGTTACAAAGACTGTACTGTACCGTAGGTGTTGTTTACATAGCGTAAGCCTGCAGACACAGAGTATTTGATGATTATGGCACCATTTATAACAATCACAGTTGTATTCGGAGCAGTGCTGTGAACATTCAGTGGTCCCAGCTAACAGTATTAAAAGGGATCAGTGCAGCCGTCAGTCCATCCACACTGTGGTAGCTGCGCGTCATTCAGACTGCGTCACAGAGGTTTTACAGATTGGTATCACGGCCTCCTGCCTTTGGCCTTGAGTCAGGAAGGGAGAGAGAGGGGGGAGAGAAGGATACTGGGGTTATCAGGGGCCCACAAAACAAAATGTCAGTGAGTGTGTGAGTGAGAGACTTGCACTGCCATAACACAACAATATAAAACACTCTTTTATAGCCTCCACTGCAGCATCGCAGGTGATCAGTCATCAGCCTCTGTCACGACGCAGCTCAGAAATAAAGTAAATGATTTTATCTGCTGCTTACATCTGTACACTTCAGCATTTCTTAAATTTATGTTGAACCTCCTGGTTTTTTTTACCCATAACAAAATGGTCACTAATATCTGTATGTATGTTTGTTCTCATTAACTGTGTTGCTTTTGCACTTATGTGTATTTTTTATATAGTATAAACATGTTATTGTCTCCATGTAGTTACAAGTATATACTTTTACAGGTAACTGCTATGAGTGTATTTAAACGTAATGGCTTACATGTTAATGTTAATGTTTGGTTTTTTTAATCCAGAAACTGCTGCACTTGTTTTGTCACTGCACCAAAATCTGCATTTTAAATTTTTTGTCCTTGGTTTCTCTGTATTTTCAGAGCTTTTGTGTACCTGAGCAACCTGCTCTACCCTGTACCTCTGGTTCACCGTGTTGCCATAGTAACAGAGAAGGGTGTCGTGCGTGGTTTCCTGCGTGTTGGTGTCCAGGCGATAGCTGGTTAGTAATTAATAAGATTTAATCATGGGGCCCAGCATGAGTTACTACAAGGGAATTATCCTGAAAATGACCTATTCATGTGTCATTATAATTTCATGCTACATCGATGTTTGGACTTTCTACACCATATTTTAATGAATTTATTTATTAACCTAGAGATTTTGCTGAATTTGAATAGCTGCTGTAAAAACCGTAACAAAAACAAACTTACTGTGGAAGATTAGACAAAGTCCACTTTGGATTCAATTATAGGCTGAGGATTGAGTTAAAGTTCAGAGTCAATAGAATTGTTGAAAATACTTTATAATTAAAGGTCAGTCTTATAATAGCATATAGTTATATCAGAAGATATTAATCTATTAATATATTAAATAAAAAGTAGAGTAAAAGTAGGAAACACAGCACTCTTTTGATGCTCTGCAGTCAAAGTTCTAGGTTTTGTGATCAGTCTCAATAAAGAGAATGTCTTTTTTACTCTTTGTAGCTGATGAGGAAGCTCCAGACTACGGCTCAGGAGTCAGACAGTCGGGAACAGCCAAAATTTCTTTTGATGATGAGTACTTCAAAAAGGTAAACCCCCTACTACAGGAAACACGTTCTTGTGTAGCTGTAAAATATTTAGATGGAAACAGAAGGTTATGGTTTAATGTTTTGTAAAATGTACAAAGCTTATACTAGTACCAATTATTTTTTAACTCTTCCTTTGGGTCTTTCCAGAATGACTTTTCCTCCACGGTTATGACCCGCTCTGGCCTGTCCCTAGAAGAGCTGCGCATTGTAGAGGGTCAGGGCCAGAGTTCAGAGGTCATCACACCCTCAGAGGAGCTCAACAGAATCAATGACATGGGTATGGCTGTCAGATCTTCACCTCCGCTCTCATAAATTTCAACCTTCTGTCCTCTCTGGGAAACATAGGTGGCAGATGGTTCTGTCCAATGCAAATGAGGATGTTTAATGTTATGGTTATGGTAATGAGATTTTCCTGCTTTGTTAAGGAATATGTACAAAGGCTACTGCAGGTGTTGATCTGCAAATTTCATGCTTGATAACCTGCAGGAAGAGTCTGATTATAGAGTGGGGTGTTTGACTTGATATGAGGATTAATAAACACAATCCCAGATGCTGCTCCAGAACATTTTAAACAAAGGTCACTTCAATAAAAAATTCCCTCTGACCTTTTTTCAGACCTCAAGCTAAGTGAAATTGCAGAGACCAAGCTGGGTCATGGTGAGGGTTTGCTGAGCCACCTGGAGATTGGCAGTGTCTTCACCTTTCGTGTTACTGTGCTGCAGGCCAGTGGTGTTCCACCTGAGTATGCAGACATTTTCTGCCAATTCAAGTGAGTCTTGAAAATCTTTTAACTGTAAACTTGCAAAAACATCAAATCTTCACAGTTATTTTTCAAATTCAAATGTGATGTCTAAAGACGTGATGCTAAATCTGCAATAAAGTCGAGGATTAAACATTTATCATTTACATTACATGAATGTAGCAGAAATATTTCATTTTATGTTGCTATGTTTACATTTTACCTGTGTTTGGCTAACCTTCATAACCTACATAATTTCAATTAAATAAATATTTGCATTTAGTATTTGTTTGAATACTAAATACAGATATTTCTAAAGTATTATGGATTTAACATGACCCAAATGTCAAAACATGTATTTATTTTAATTTTCTTTAATCCTGAGCTGCTGTTACTAAACACATTGTCTCATAAATCTGATATATATATAACATGCATTATTATTTGATGATGTTTCTTCCCTAGTTTCCTGCATCGTCATGATGAAGCTTTTTCCACTGAGCCTCTGAAGAACTCTGGCAAAGGAGCTCCTCTGGGCTTTTACCACGTTCAAAATGTGAGTCAACAAATACACACACACACCTTAACAACATTAATTAAATTAATTTTGACATGACCTTATGTTTGCACTGCTGGGACAGATTTCAGTGGAGGTCACAGAATCCTTTATTGAATACATCAAAACCAAACCCATTGTGTTTGAGGTTTTCGGTCATTACCAGCAGCACCCGCTGCATCTTCATGGTCAGGACCTGATCAGGTGAATAGTATTTTAACACAGAAGTATTTTACCGTAAGAAACTAGAATTTAAATAACACTTTAACTTTTTATTCCAGCAGTCCTTCAATACCATCAAGGAAATACTATCCTATTCCAATGCCCCTGTCTAAACCAGGTAAGACTTTTAGTTTTATTACACCTTCACACCACAAAGTCATCGTACCTTTGTTACTTTTTCTTTTGTTCATTATGGATATTAAAAGCATGACTCATATCTCCTTTATTTTCCATTTCTTGCTTCCTTTGGATTTAATAATAAATCTTTTGTTGATATATTTAATCATCTGGGTTTTTATAATCCTCTTACCTACCTCCATCTTCTTTTCTATACCTCCCTTTTCCAACCTCCCTCTGAATATTTTTTTTTACTAATGCTGTCACAAACCTAGACCATACACGTAAAATAGAGTTGATTCGCTACCTAATGAGCGGCTATGTGAACGGCGTGGTACTGGACACACTGTCTGAGCACGCCAACGCGCTTGCCTCCACTGCTGTGGCTCATCTGGAGGAGGAAGATGACCAGCTCTGTCGCTTTCCTTTTCTTCCTGTTCCCAATGACCCGGTGCTGGTTGTTCCCAAGCACCATGGTCGGTACTGTGGTACTGAGTGCTAGCTTCGGTGCCCAGGCATTAGCTGCATTAGCTGCGGGTTTTAGAGATTAGAGCAGTGATGTGTTTTGCTGTAGTGTGACTGTAGGCAGTGGTGTGTCTGTATTTTGCTGCAGGTTTGTTTTTTGTAGGTTGTAGTCAGTTCAGTGCAACCTTCCCTTGACCCTGAAAAACTGTCCTGAACAAACTTGCTGAGGGAAATCTGCTGCATGTGCCATGCGCACTGTAGCAAAAAAAAAAAAAAACCCAAAACGTTATTCATTATATTCAATATAACTGAGGAAAACTTTAGAGTAGAATAGATTTCAGAGGTCTGAGCTTCTCTCTAAGAATATTGGTTTTTATGTGCAGTCTTTTCCTCTTTCAGTAAAATAGTACTAATACAGTTGAGAAATTAGAGTGTTGTCAGTAGTGGTGGTGTATGTGATTTAGTAAAAAGTGTGATTAGCTGTTGGAATCACAGATCCAATGTATATGTATATATATATATATATATATATATATGTATATATATATGTATATATATATATATACATAATCTCTGTTTAACCCCTGATCAACTCCAGTGGCTCATGTGAAACCTATGTTTGTGTTCCAGTTCCAGCCACCAAGCTGAACACCATCACCAAGTCCAACCTGGGTCAGTGTGTCAGCAAGTACGACCTGCTGGTCTGGTTTGAGATCAGTGAGCTGGAGCCCACTGGAGAGTGAGTGTCTGTTCAAACAGAATACAATAAATATATAACTTAATTCATAAAAAACTGTTATACCTGTATTTGCAGAAATACAGTTTTCTTAACCTTAAGTTTTTCTACAATGAATATGATTCTGGAGTGGCCAGGATGCACAGGATTATAATGTATAAATCAGACTGAAGTCTAGATTCACCAGTTTAAAGTTCTAGTTAAGAAATGAAAAGATTGTGAAAAAACCCAATGTTTTTTTAGTAGTGAGAAGATGGTGTTGTAACAAATGATTCAGTTTAGCATCGAGAGCAGTCAGTGACAAGGTTAAATTATTCTTGTGTCCTCACTTAAATGCTGTTCAAGTAAAAATGTGTTTCAGTTTTACAAATAGTGTGTTAGGGCTGACTGTGACTCTGCTCCTTTTACAGGTACATCCCAGCAGTGGTTGATCACAGTGGAGCAATGTCCTGTCAGGGCACCTACCTACTGCACCAGGTACCAGCAGTCAGATCCACATCTTTCCTACTGGACCCACTGATTACACCAGTCACCACTTTTTAAAATAAATATACGTATAGTATAGTATATATGTATAGTATTTATTTTTCTGTGTGGATTTCTTTGTAATTATTTTATATAATTCAGCTTAATTTTTTAATAAATAATCATAGCATCCTCCCCGCACATTTAAGTCTACTGTAACACTTCATCTGCTGCTGTCTTTTCTGCAGGGGATCCAGCGGAGGATCACGGTGACTCTCATCCATGAGAAGGGCAGTGAGCTTCACTGGAAGGATGTTCGTGAGCTGGTCGTTGGTAAGGACTCGAGACACAAAGAAACAGAGCGTGTACCGACAGTTTTGTCAGTTATTTTATTCTGTTTTTAGAGTTACTTCTCTTATTAACTTCAGTTTTGTGGTGCAGCTGTTGAACCATAAAACCACATTTTGCAATTCATATATTACATGTGTGTCAAACTCGAGGCCCGTGAGCTGGATTTGAGCCAGTTAATGTGTATCTCATCAGGTCGCATCAGAAACAAAGCAGAAGTAGACGATGGTGCTGCTGATGCCGTCCTCTCCCTCAACATCATTTCAGCCAAGAACATCAAGTCTTCACACAACTCCAACAGGTAGCTTCAAACATATGTGCAATTATACCATGTATTTACCAGCCCATAAAAGAAAAACATGTAGCCTATTCATCTTGGGACTATTATACCTCTTCAGTGAAGTAGTACTGAACCAGTATTGGACAAAAGTCATGTTTCTGTCTTTGTTTAAAAGATTTTTAACCAAGAAACAACTTGTTTTAATAAGTTCTTGCATGGCAAGACTCAGCTTTGGTCACATTTGTGCTGCATTCAAACTTAACTGTTAAGCCTCAGGAAATAAGAGTTGAAGTACATTTTCAGATATACTCATTGCAGTTTTGGATAATACTTCTGTATTATTATTGGATTGGATCTTTTTTTTTTTTTTTAACTGTGAGGTTGTGATGCAGTTTTTTCACAAACTGTAGGTGTGCTCTCATTGCTGAAGCCGCACTAGAATCATTGCATGACCATTTCCATTTTCATTATTATTTTTCCCCCTCTCTGTTGTATCCATTGTCTGACACTTTTTTTCTTCTTTTTTTCTGTGCACTTTCTCTTCTTGCTGCTGCGTCTGGACTCATGATTGTGTTCAGGCTATCTATTGATAAGGATATTAATAGGTACCAGTGAGCAGAAAACATAAACTTCTTTCTCTGAAAGACCTTTATGTTTCTCTTTCAGTCCCTTTGAATCATAGAAATCCTCCACAGTCTGTCTCCCTTTATCTATTTCACTGATTACTGTCACTGATAAGTACAACGTCTTTATGGTTTTGTGATTTGACTTTAAGTAGGAGGCTGGTTTGCTGATTTTTGTAGCAGTCAAATTCCAAATGAATGTCTTTGTCTCATATGAGTCATGCTGTTCACTGCATGAGCCTTGACTCCTTCATAACAAAAGCTAATGAAGCAGTGAAGCTTCTCAGCCTGCGGTGAAGACTGCCCTCTGCTGCCACACAGAGGAACAGTTTTAGCTCCTCTGTTACAGCTATCGTTATTGTACATCATTTTACTTGCATGCATCTCATAATTGTCTCAAAGAAAAAATATCTTAAGTTTTTTTTTATTTATTTAGTTTTAATATAGTTGTTTACAATTTCACCGCTTTTAGCACAACTATATACAGGCCAACCACACTTGGTAAACTTTCTACAGGATATTTAATATTTTCATATATTAGAGTTAAAAAATAAAGCCGACGATCAAAGGCAATTGCACAGTACAATATACTGTCCATACACATAATATAAAGTATTACTCCAAAACAATTGTCTCCAAAAACTTTGTTATTGCAAGGTATTTCCTCCAGCAGCATTTATATTCAGTCTCAATAATTTTGGTTTTGTACCATCTGTTTCACACAGCTTACTGCACTCTGAGCACTGCTAACTGCTGCTGCTGTCAGGGTGCCACCACAGCGTGTTTCCTCACACCTTGAGTGTGAAGAACATTTCAGTCACTGCTCAAATCTGTCACATTTGTTTCTGTGTCTTAAGTAGCGCTACAGTCCTTGTTTTTGTGGTTATTTACGCAAACATTTCTGTTCCCAAGTAATAAGTAATCCAGCGTAATATAATAATATCAACATATTTATAAATAACCACAGAATACAACAGAACATTGGAGAGAATTTCCCTTTTCCAATAAATAAACACATTTTCAAAGTGCAATGTATGAGCCTTTTGTGTATATACATAGTAAAAAACTTAGAATACCCCGCTGTATGAAGTACCTGTACATGTGGTTATTTTCCTGTCATTTTGCAGATGAATCAATGTTATTTTCTTCTTTTCTTTCAGGACCTTCTATCGTTTTGAGGCTGTGTGGGACAGCTCTCTGCACAACTCCCTCCTGCTCAACAGAGTCACTCCTTATGGAGAGAAGATCTACATGACCCTGTCTGCGTACCTGGAGGTCAGTCACTGCCCACCCTGTGGTGCATCTTTTTCCACTGAGAGATTAATGCTGGCAATATAAATAAATGAAAACTACAAATATTCTGTCTCTTCGCCTCTTCACAGCTCGACCACTGCATCCAGCCTGCTATCATAACCAAAGACATCTGCATGGTCTTCTACTCCCGGGACGCCAAGATCTCTCCTCCTCGTTCCCTCAGAAACTTCTTTGGTAGCGGTTATTCTAAAACACCTGACTGGTAAATACTTCGGAGCTGCTGTATTTCCTGCAGTTTTTACCCAAAGAATCCCAGACACTGATCATCTCTGTTTTTATCACAGCAACCGGGTCACTGGAATCTATGAGCTTAGTTTATGTAAAATGTCTGACACTGGAAGCCCAGGTAAGCAGGAGAAAAAATGATTATTTTTTCATGTGTTGCTGCTTTTCTAAAAAACTAAAACAAAACATTGTTCTCGCATTTGCTTCTGGTGTAAACAGGGATGCAGCGGAGGAGAAGGAAGATTCTGGACACGTCAGTAGCCTATGTGCGTGGAGAGGAAAACCTCGCTGGCTGGAGGCCCAGAGGAGACAGTCTGATCCTGGAGCACCAGTGCGAGCTGGAGAAAATGGAACAACTGCTTGAGGTTGGTTTTCTAAGCCTTATTTAACCTAAGGTTCCTCTGTTACAAAGAACATACATGCCCTATGTATGTCCTGCTCTTCTTCTGAACAGAACCTTCTCATGTTCTAAACGTATTGTGTTAATAAACTTTCCCTGACATCCCTACAGGTGGAGAAGACTCGTCACCTGCTTCTGCTGAGGGACAGACTCGGAGATGCAGCTTCTCTTGGCACAGCTCCGGCCAAGTCCTTGAGTGAGTCTCTCTCACCCAGCATGAGCTCCGGCACCCTGTCCACCTCCACCTCCATCTCCTCACAGATCTCCAACGCCACCTACGAAAGCGCCATCACGCCCAGCGAGAGCAGCGGCTACGACTCCACGGACATCGAGAGTCTGGTGGATCGTGAGAAGGAGTTGGCCACGAAGGTGAGAAGAGAGTTTTAATGATCATCTGCTCTGTTTGCTATTGAGTAAGCAGCAGATGAACCTGTCCTTAACTTTGAGTCTTCTCTTTGTTGTATTGAAGTGCCTGCGTCTCCTGACACACAGTTACAACAGTGAATACAGCCAGGTTGTCAACAGCATCAGTGACTGCAAGGTGAGAACGTAAATATAGATTCAGGAATATTTTATTGATCCCTCAGGGTGAAAGGTTTTGGTAAAAGTAAGTAATACTGCATTAATTCAGCAACAGGTGTAAATGTGAGGTTTTGCAGTTTTTCTAGGGTGATAAATAAAGTAATGAATTGTTTGTGTGTTTTTCTGCAGCTTTCTGATATCTCTCCTATTGGACGTGATCTGTCAGTGACCAGCTTCAGCAGCGCCACCCTGACCCCCTCCTCCACCTGTCCTTCTCTGTCTGACTCCCGCTGTGGCACCTTAGATCAAAAGTAAAAAAAACAAACAACAGATTTAAAAAAAAAAAAAAAAAAAGATAAATATCCGAAATCTGGAGACAACAAACTCCTTCAACCTGTTGTTTTAATGATGACACTCTTTGGTTTCCCTGTTGTCAGGACTCCAGAGAACTTCTCCATCGCCTCTAGTCCTTCCTGTTCAGATTATGAAAACTTCCCGATGGTTCCCACTCTAGAGGCGTCCTACTTGGCACGGGCTGGAAAGAACGAGTTCCTTAACTTGGTGCCTGATATTGAAGAAATGAGACCAGGGTGAGTGATGCCACTTCTGGTCATCGTGCTTTTAAAACCTGTCTAATCATTTAATTTAGAATCATCATTGTGGATTGAAACATGATTCTGATCCATTTTTGCCAGTGTGATACTTCACTGAATTGTAGATTGTTGGTTTTAATAGAATGAAGTATTTTTTGAAAAGATAGGTTGAGAGCATGAGAAAACACTTGACTAGATTTAAATTATTTAATAAAGAAAATTCTTTAACAAAAAAAATCTGTTCTCCTCTGGAATAATTTTTCAGGTCTGTTGTATCCAAGAAGGGATTCCTGAGCTTCATGGAGCCGCGCTCTAACTCATGGGTGAAGCACTTTGTGGTTGTGCGCCGCCCCTATGTCTTCATCTACAACAGTGACAAGGACCCAGTGGAGCGAGGTGTCCTCAACCTGTCCACAGCACAGGTGGAGTACAGTGAAGACCAGCAGGCCATGCTCAAGGTACAGTTTACAAAAAACATTGTTTGGTTTATATATAAATGCAGAATAATGACTGCATTTACATATGTTATCAACAGCTACACACCATTATTTAGACGGTAAAGAAAGTGTACCTCCTGCCTTTAAGGTAAAGGAAGAAGAAGGGTTTGTTTAATCCCCCAACTTCTCAACTTAAACTTTCCTAAAAACTTATTCTAAGAAGACCAGTTAATCTGGTTCTCACAGTTGATAAATGAATCCTAAATAATACTGAACAAATCCTGTCAATTTCAACATATGGTTAACATATTTTATCTTAAAATAGCAAACATCAGTACTTGACACCAAGTCGGATCAAATTTAGAAAGATTTTATTAGAACTGACGTAAAAGTTGTGGCTCCAAAAACTACAACTATGCCCAATACTGACAGGATTTTTTACAGCATTACCAGAAAGAAATGCTTCGATTTTTTTTTTACAATTTATTTATTCAACTTTCTTTAAACTCCTTAAGGCAATATTTTAAAGAAAATCTCAAAAAACATGCAGACTTACAGATATTCACTGTTGTCGTTTGCAGACTCCCAATACATTTGCCGTGTGCACAAAACATCGAGGAATCCTGCTGCAGGCCAACAACGAGAAAGACATGAACGACTGGCTGTATGCCTTTAATCCACTGCTGGCAGGAACAATAAGGTAAAATCAGACAGACGCTTCACAGAGCAGCTGACAACAAGCTGCTCCTTCTCTGTGTGAAGTTACACTCTGACCTCATCCTCCTCTTGTTCTTCACAGATCTAAGCTGGCAAGGAGGCGCAGTGGCCTGGTGAAAAACTGAGAGAGAGTGAGAAAGAAAGAAAGGGAGAACAAACTCTCTGTTGTTTCTGTAACGCCTTTGAACATACTAAGTGTTAACACTTCTTATTAATCATTGTGGTTCTTGACAGTTTTCTCTTGTAAGTAGACTTGTGGCTTAAGTCTCCTTTCACGCGACTAAAAGTTTCAGAGGAATTTGCCTCCTGTCTACCGCTGCCAGCTTCCCTCCTCCTCTTTCTCTCCCCCACCTCCTCCTCAGCTTTTTGTGTTTTTGTTTAAATGACGATGTTCAGGGTCGGATTATGTTGTTTTGTTTTGTGGTCATTCCCCAGCTCCCTGACTAGTAGCATGTTGTTGTAGTCCACTTGTGTGTGCACGATTCTTCAGAAACTAATCTTTCTGGCCACTAATTTTCAGTTTGCCAACCATTTGTAAAAAAAAAAAAAAAAGTCTTTATCAGTGTTATGCGTTTCCCCAGAAAAGTCTTATTTGATTTTTTTTTTTAACAGTGTACCCACACATTACCTGCAGCATCCTCAGGGCAAGACTGGGTTTGCTTACCTACGAGATAAAGTTAATCAGAGAAGTACAGATACAATTATGAAGGGAAACTGTACAAATATCCCATAATGAAGTTGAATATGAGTTCAATATGAGTTCACACTCTGCAAAAGAACGTAGAGCGACTTAAAGAACCATTGCTGCTACTGATTTCTTCTTTTTGTCTTTTGTTTATGAGATGTGCATCAGGCCACTTCCTAAAAGGTCAACTCCAACGCCCCGGTACTGCCTACTGAACAGCATTCACGTATAAATATGTGAAAAATTTGCCAGTAAAACTCAAGAGCTGCTTTGGATTTTCATCATTATCCCAGCGATATTTAGATCCCACTCCTCTGTCTGTGTTCCAACATCCTTATGGTGTCATCTGTGAGTATTTGTGAAAAATCACTTCTCATAAGTTAAAAAATACAGTATATAAAAAAAGATGCTGACGAGGAAGATGCACAGAGAGAACATAAGTCTGTTCTGGGATCAGTTTTTGTTGTTTCCTTTCGTATAGGACACTCCTCTCTCAGCTCCTTGAACTTCTTACTCCATCAGGTTAAGACCGTCATCTATGGACAGTCTCAACATTCACTATCATCTCACGTAACCTTCACCAACATCTGATCTATGTGCTGCAGTCAGCAGTCAGATTGAAGTTAAACAGAGAGCAAAAAAACACAAACTTTTGGCCTTGACTGAGCCGCAGGCAGAGAGCCTGCACCTCAACTGACGACAGTCTCACCCACAACTCCCTTCCCTGTCTATACAGTGTTGGGATAAAACCTTAGTAAAAGTGAGTATTGTTACTCCTCGGATCCACCGCACGTCTATGACCAGATGGTTTTCTTTTTATGTCCTTCAACAGAAAACCTCTAACTCATCTGACCTTCACTTGTTTGACGTTACGTTTTTTAAGTATTAAAATTTGTATTTTTTTTTGTAATTTGCTTTTAACCAATGAATAGGGATGTTTTTTATGAAGTGTAACAGAGGGCATTTAATTCTTATGTTTTAAGTAATCTTTGTGTTGCACATTAGCACATATCTATAGCAAAGTGAGGGAAGAATACACACACACACACACACGCAGTATCAGGATAAGTGAGGAGAGCACATATCAAGGTTATACAGCATAGCTTTTTTCCAAAGGGTTTAACTAAAGAAAAGCAAAGAAGTGATATTTAAGGGAAACCTTTAGTGAAGGGTGTTGTTGTTTGTGGACATATTTGCTCTGTATGTTGTTCTGCAGCCTGTGGTATAGTGTGATGGTTTTGTTGCCTGTTTCTGTCCAGGTGATAAAACAGTGATTGGTACAGATTGGCACTAAAAACTCTGGCCAGCTAACCAGCAGTGTGCCTTCTGTATTAAAGAGAGGGGGGTAGAAAGGGTAAATCAGGGATACAGGTGTTTACATTTAAATAAATAATCAAAGATGCTTAAAGGGAAAATGGAAAATGGGGGAAACATTTTTTGCACCGGCTCCAAATATGGGTGCAGTCTGGAACCCTGTCTAAAATAGGTTAAAATGAAATAACTAGTTTACTTTTACAAAATATAAAGACAGTAAAGAATAAAAACCTTTTGAAAGTAAAACCGGAGGTAGAAACTTCTCTCAGGTCAGCCAGCCTGATGTAGAGTCCAAGCCCTGGTTCAACATCTCAGACTCAACCACCACTGTGCTCCAAGTGCAATGTACCTCAACATGTAGTAGATGCATATTTATATGAAAAGATTCCAGAGCAAATACTTCCACTGACCCATTTGCAGAGATGTATTGTTATGGGGAAGAGTGTATTTATTGTTTGCAATGTATATATTAGTTTGCAGCTCTTTGCACATGTTATGGAAAGGTTCAAGCGATCAAATGAAATCTGCACGGTTTAGTTGTATCAAACTGGGAACCGAACAAATGTGGAAGCCGTGAAAAACCTCTTCCAGCAGGAAATGGAAGAGAGTTGAATGTAGTATGAAGATGTGTGTGTTTCTCCGTCGTTAGGATAACAAGACAAAAGTGTTTCCCACTACATATATTCTTTCAGAGATGTCTTCATAGAGTACCTCCTCTTAATTAGAAAGTCTGCTTTTAATTTGGAGAATATTCACTCAGCACTCATGCTAGAAAACTGCCTGAGTTCTAACTAAATAAAGGTGGTTTTTAACTTTAGTTTTCTAATATCAGGGAATATAATACAAAGTAGCTAGAGACTTAGAAAATTTCCTTTACTTTGAGCTCATGTCTTTTGTCACCTCTTCACTCTTGTCCCATTGATGCCTTTCACACAGCACTAGCCATGACATTTCACTCATCTTCCCCTCATACTAATGTTGGCTCACCTTGGATTTTGTTGACTATGATTATGAAACACGCGGAACCGATACACCACGACATCACCACTGTACATTATTTGTCAGACTGGTTTCATTTTCATACTTATTTTGTAAATATATGTGTTGTATGGAGCTTGAATTAAAATGTAAATATGTTTACTGTATTTGTAATAATTATAATCCATTCGCTGTATAGCATAGATGTGTCATGCAGAAACCCTAACTCTGTGTATGGTAACCTTACACCATTGAACTGTTTAGTGAATGAGGCAACAATAAAAGTGCAAACTGTGCATTAGCAGAAAGACACTCCGTGTCCGTTCACTGTGAGGCTCCTCTTCAAATCTCAGATGTACATAAGAAAAGTTTTGTTTTTTTTAATTCAGAACCTTTTTTAGTTTTATTAGGACTAAAAACAAAATTAAATACATGGAGTTAAAATGCAGGCTACAAAATATGATTTTTTTTTCTTTTAATCAAATCCTTTTATAGTCTATTTAAACTTATAGTTTACGTTGTTGGAGTGGTGAGATGTAAAATTCTTTACATTCACATTTCCTCTGCTTGTTTTTTGCCTTCATAATAGCCTCAGTTTGTTTACATGTAAAGTTAAGACCGTCCTTCAGCTTATTAGTTAAGGTTTCCCTCGACCAAAACAGAAGTTACGTATGCGCTGTCGTGACATAAGTGACGGTCACAGCTACAAATAGGAGAAGAGCTATCTCGGCTCAGTCTTCTGGACCAATCAAATATCCAATAAACATCGCTGAAGGAAGAGAACATTCTGTGATTGGTTTAATCGACAAGGGTGGGCGCGGCCTAACGCCTCCTGACTACTGTCACGCTGAGAGCAGGAAGAAGTGAATCAGTGAGAGCTCTGCCGTCATTTGGACGTTCGTGCTGACTTCACTGTGACTTTACCTGCAAAGCAAAATGGCTGAGTAAGTTGTGTTTACCTCCCTTTACAGCTAAGATAACTTGGAACTGCAGATACATACGGTTAACAGTATGATATTTCTAGTAATTGTTTTCCTATTTAAGAAGTAGTTTTCTGTACTTGTTAGCATATTAGCTAACAGAGCAGTTGTTCGGGACAAGTGGCTGAATTTCACTATGGTCAGTGGAGTAGAAACCAGAAGTGTTTATTCCATGTTCCGTTTTAATTGTTTCCTCTCTGTTTAAATATTTTCCAACATTTCATAAAGAAAATATATAATTACGAATGTACCCACGAGTTGTGATACTGCACATGGTTCTAACACCGCTAACGATTTCTCTTTGGGTTTCAGGGCAGACATTGCACTGATAGGGTTGGCCGTCATGGGCCAAAACCTCATCATGAACATGGACGATCACGGCTTTGTGGTAAGGTGACCATAATAGTGAAAACTGCGCTATTACGATGTCACTCACGTTTTTAAACAATGTCTTCGAGAACTATAGAAGAACTTCCGCTTGTACTGCTTTAGTGTCAAAATCCAAACGTTCTACCTGTTGTAATGAATGAAGACATTTTTGATGATGAGTCAATCAGTCAGCAGTTAGATTAGTCAATCCTGACTGAAGCTACTGCTTTATATTATTTTGTACAATACTACATATACATACATATCATTGAAATGTGTAACTATTAACCATTCTTCTAACATCTACTGCCAGTCATACTAATACCTCTGTGTCTCCCACAGGTCTGCGCCTTCAACAGGACCGTATCAAAAGTACATGAATTCCTGCAGAATGAGGCCAAAGGCTCCAAAGTCATCGGAGCGGAGTCCTTAGAAGACATGGTGTCCAAACTGAAGAAGCCCAGGCGCATAATCCTGCTGGTCAAAGCTGGTCAAGCTGTGGACGACTTCATTGACAAGCTGGTGGGTAGTTTGTGCTGAAGTTTGTGAAATGCTGTGGTTTGTTCTAATCACTGTGTTGAATACATTTACTTCATTATTCTTCTGCAGGTTCCTCTTCTTGAGCAGGGAGACATCATCATCGATGGCGGAAACTCTGAATACAGAGACACAACGGTAAAAACCGATATCTGAAAAAAAAAAAAAAAAAGTGGACCAGTGTGGATGTGCTGGCTCTTCTAATTTGGTTGTGTGTTGTTTAGCGGAGGTGTAAGAGTTTAAAAGAGAAAGGCCTGCTGTTTGTGGGCAGTGGAGTCAGTGGTGGAGAGGAAGGTGCACGTAAAGGACCCTCACTGATGCCAGGAGGACACAAAGAGGCCTGGTCAGTCCTTATGTTATAATTAGACGAAGTGACCAAACAATAACAAGCTCATAAACAAATGTTAACTTATTAACTAATCACTGCTTTAATTTGAAGGCCACACCTGAAAGACATCTTCCAGAGCATCGCAGCGAAGGTTGGAACAGAGCCTTGTTGTGACTGGGTAAGTGGAGAATTCAATTGGTAATTTAACAATTAAATTTTTTTCTCTAAACCTAAAACTGATGAGCTGGTCTGTTTGTGTAGGTGGGAGATGATGGTGCGGGTCATTTTGTGAAAATGGTTCATAATGGCATTGAGTATGGAGATATGCAGCTGATCTGTGAGGCCTATCACCTGATGAAGGACGTGCTGGGTATGGACCACGATGAGATGTCACAGGTCAGATTTGAAGTCCTGTATTTTCTCTTTCCTTTACTCCAAAGACTGTAAATGGAATATAATTGGTTGAGATGGCATCTTTGAACTGCTGCAGGTTTTCGACAGCTGGAACAAAACTGAGCTTGACTCCTTCCTGATTGAAATCACAGCCAACATCCTCAAATATAAAGATACGGATGGCAAACCTCTGCTGCCCAAGATTCGTGACAGTGCAGGACAGAAAGGCACAGGGAAATGGACGGCAATTTCAGCCCTGGAATATGGCACGCCTGTCACTCTGATCGGTAAGAGATTAATGACCAGGAAGTAAGTGTTTTTCTTTTCCTGGTCTTTGTTACATCATGTTGAGGTTAAAGTTTCACCAGTTCAGAGAGTGTGTGATCAGTGCAGTCTGACTTATATTTACTGTTCCTGTAACACGCATCATGACATAGTAAGTCTGTGTCTAAGCAGGTTGAAAAGCTTCTCTGCTGCTACGATCATCTCTGCTGACATAAGTGGGATTTGGCTTTGGTCTTTACTGTGTGTTGTATAAACAGCCCTGCAGGTCAGAATGAGACACTGTAAATGAATAATAAAAAGTAAACACTTGTTTAGGTGGGTGAAAAAAATGAAAGCAAATAAAAGAAATAGTTAGTTTTTCTGTTGCAGTAATTGTCCGCTCACTTCCACTGCTGCTGTGGCTCAGTGTTTGGTTTTGTTTTTTACTTTTTGGTGCTTTAGATCAGAGTCTGATAAGAGTGAGGTGAGGGCAGAGGAGGACAAAAGCATCATTTGTGTGACAGGGCAGCACAGCCAGTCTGTCTAAACGGCTGGATGTCAACCTCCTCCTGATCACTAGGTTTTCTTTTTCTATCTGTGCGTGTGTGCACGTGAGGCTATTTTAAGAGCAAGAAAGTTCTTGAAGTTAGGATTAGAACAAGTGTCAGACTAGAGTTAGATTAGAGATTAGATAAGGAAAATATGGGAAAAAGTTAAAGTTAGGGTTAAAGAATATTTTACACCCCAAAAAAATCAAAGGAGTGTGTGTGTATGTGTGTGTGTGCGTGTGTGTTGCATCACCTAAGGATGACTTTCAGCAAGTCATGCTTACTCAACAGTTGATCCTGATACAGTTGGAAATCTCATTATTATTTTATGAGCCGTCACTTGTTGGTGGCTGTTTTTTTTTTTGTTTTTTTAAGTTTTTAAATCAGCAGTAATATTGCATATTATTATAAATAACATTTTAAAAGGTTGTTTTTTCCAGCTTGGCTAGAAAAATGACAATACCAGACATGAAAACATGAACTGGCCTTGTACTGTTTGTTCAATTTAACACGTGACCTGATTGTGTTTCTTCTGTCCTCTCATCTGTGTCTCAGGGGAGGCTGTCTTTGCCAGATGCCTGTCCTCTCTGAAGGATGAGAGAGTGGACGCCAGCCGCAAACTGAAGGGTCCACAGGGGGTGAAGTTCAATGGAGACAAGGCTGTCTTCCTGGAAGACATTAGAAAGGTACTACAGTCATTGGACGTCAGGTTAAAAAAAGACTGAATTTAATAAACAAGACTCACAAATATAGGCTTTTAACCACCTGACTAATTAACCAGTCTGGATCCAGAGGAGCTACAGTGGTTTACTCATAACCTCATGAAGCTTCATTTGAAGTAAAAAAAAATCATCACATCTGGAAAAATACTTTTAACACAGTCTTCAATTCAAATAAAAACAGTTAGTGGTGAATTTTCACGTGTAATTTGATGTTGACAGAGAGGAAATAAAATCATTTGCTGATGATGTCGTGATCTCACCCCTAGCCTAAGACACTGACTAATAATCTTATCACAGTAAAGTGATTATTTTCTCTGTTTATTGTCATTTCTCGCCAGGCTCTCTATGCTTCCAAAATCATTTCCTACGCTCAGGGATTCATGCTGCTGCGACAGGCAGCCAAAGAGTTTGGCTGGACCCTGAACTACGGTGGGATCGCGCTAATGTGGCGAGGCGGCTGCATCATCAGAAGGTGGGTGTTGACCCTGTATGTCCTCATGTCTGAGGTTGTGTTATCATGTGTTGCTAAATATGAAGAAAACAGCAGTAAAGTGAAGTAAAAGGGAACTTGCTAAAAAGGCAGGAGGATTTCTAACGGTGTTCATGAGCTCGTCATAAAGTTGTTTTATTTTTTGTTTTGTTTTCTTGGAATTCATAGTAACTTCCGTGATGGAAACAAAGGTTTATTGTTTTATTGTTCGCTCTTTGTCTCCTGGTTTCTGTGTTGAAATCCTGGAGTAAAAAGATCTGAGTCTTCCTGTAAAACCAGGCAGAGAGAAAAATGAGGAAGCTGTGGTTGTGACACAGGTTTGCTCTGTGCAACCTGAAGAGAACGTTACACAAACCTGATGACACAATGCACACAGTGAGCTGTGGAGAAACAGGTTCAGTTGATGATATTTTGACAAAGAGAAAATTAAAATGACATTTACTTCTAAAAAGCAGGGCTGCATGCCACAATAAGTGGTTTGAGTACTTGCTCTGCAGCAATGACTGTCAACTTGCGCCTTGCTGAACTGTCTAATCCAGCCATCCAAAATAAACATTAAACAATAACATTAGACAGAAATGTAATTTTTATCTAATTTTATTTGAGTGTCTGGCCCCCAAGGTGTCTGTCCAGAAAAACTCTGTCCCTCTGACAAAAGAGATTATTAGTTCAGTCCGTGGACTTGGTTGGACTGTCCTAGTTCTACACTGCCCTCGTCTGATGACTGCTGGTATTGAATGCAGCTTCTCCTGTGACTCTGACTATGATGGAGCAGTGGAAACAAAAAACAAAGCATGTATTAATCTGTTGACACATCTATCTCCTGTCCTTCCAGTGTGTTCCTGGGTAAAATCAAAGAAGCCTTTGACAGAGATGCTGAGCTGCAGAATCTGCTGCTGGACAGTTTCTTCAGTAAAGCTGTACAGGACTGTCAGGTATGAGGAAGTGGTCAGAGGCTGACCTGTGACTGTCTGTGCTGCAGTCAGAGATGAACGGGGAAGAGAGACAGTTCTAGGACAGAGTTCATGGAAGGAAACTAAATTTACTGACTAACAACTGACTGACTAATTTAATAGCTCTCTTCTAAATTTAATTGATTTATACATGGTGCTGAAGACAGATGGTGACACCCTGTGGTTCTGGACCGTAAAAACATCCCTGACATTGTTTTGGTTCTTCTGCAACTTTCTTGTCAAAGTTAGGAGAGGAAATAATGGAGCAATGGGTTCAGTTCCATTTTATAACCCAAACATGAGAAGTAGTTTGACTTTTATCACTTATTTTGTGTTTTCTTTTTATTATGAGAAATGTAGCACCAGGGTTCCTACAGGTGAGGCTCAAAATATTGCATCTGACTGGATTTTTCTGAGAAATAGAGAAATAACATCACACTCAAACTCGTATAACTTTATGAAAGTCATGTGTAGCTGATCTTTCTTTTTTTGACCAGATCCAGGAAATACAAATATTTCTGAAACAAAAAACTGAATAAAATGTCTCTCCCGTTTTGTCTTTTCTTTAGGAGTCCTGGCGCAGAACAGTGTGCACTGGGGTCCAGCAGGGTCTCCCCATGCCCTGCTTCACCACAGCTCTGTCCTTCTACGACGGCTACAGACACGACGTGCTGCCAGCAAACCTCCTACAGGTCAGACGGCAGTGGACCCTGAGGTCCACTGACCATACAGTCCTCTGTGTGTGTTTGGACAATGAAGTTGAAAAGAAAACATGCAGCTTGTGTTTTTTTTTTTTTTACAGTTTTTCTGAACCTTTTTTTCTTCCATCCTCAGGCTCAGAGAGATTACTTTGGAGCTCACACATATGAGCTGTTAACAAACCCAGGTAAATACATCCACACGAACTGGACAGGCCATGGTGGAAGCGTCTCCTCTTCATCCTACAACGCTTAACCATGCAGCGTCACATCACTGAGGAACACAGGAACAACAGCAGGCAGAGAATGAGGAAGAAGTTTCCTGTGACACAGAAAGTTACACATTCCACAGTTGGTACATTACAACCATGAGTGAACATGAGAAAACACAGCGTCCTAACTCGGTGTCCATATGTTCCTTATAATCCTGAATATGAAAAATAATGATAGCTTTCTGTGTTGTTTATTCTCTCTCTGTGTGTGTGTGTGTGTGTGTGTGTAGCCAGGAGGAGACGAAGAACAGTTTTCTGTCCTGATGCAGTGGATATGATACCGTTTACTAGGCTCCTGTTCACCAGTCAGGATCACAGTGATGCACTGTACTGTATTAGGCTAAATAAAGATTTCAATCCCTTTATAATTAGCTTTGTACAGCCTTTTACTCTCTGCGCTCTGTAAATAAGATTACTGTGTGGCAACAAGTGACATAAGTTCTGTGTCTATTAATAGATTTTAAAGGACATGGAGAATAGCAGTTCTACTCAGCCTGTAAGTATGTAACCATGACCCAGTGAGCTCAACTAGTTATGTGTGAGATTATATATATATATATATATATATATATATATATATATATATAAATTTATATATATACTTATGTATCTTTTATTTGATGATAAAGTATTTAAATTATATTTATATTTTATATACTCAAAATATAAATATCCTTTTTCGGTCCTTAAAATTATTATAAAGGATTTTCTAAAAAAAATCTCTCGTTCTCATTTGATGAGAAACATGCAGAGATAAAATTTTGAAAAACAATTCCAAAAAATCATATTTCTTTTTTTACCATGTGACAAACATGACGTAAAATTAGGATTTTACCAAGAAAAATTACAAATAAAACATTTTCTGCAATATTTCTCAAAATGCTCCAATTTCGTGAGAAAATTCATAAAAAAAAATTTGAAAATATTTTTCCAAATATTTTCATCATATTTTTTGACAAAAGGCAATTTTTTGGTCAGATGTTGATACATTTTGATGAAAAGTTTTTAAACATTTTATCTTTCATCAAAATAGTGTGTTGAATTTTTTTTAGAAAAAAACATTTAAAAAAAAACAAAAAAAAAAATTTGAACACATTTCTTCAAATTTTTTAGAGAACATTTTTTGGAATTCTTTGGCAAAGCCCTAATTTTTGGTGAGATGTTGAAAGTATTTTTGAAAATTTTTGATTTTAAAATTTTACCTTTTCTGCATGTTTCTTATCGAAACAGTGTTTTGAAAACATTTTTAGAAAAAAAGTTTTTGTTAAAAAATTTTTTGAACTTTTTAAAAAAATTTTCTGCAAAACCCTAATTTTTTGTTTTTGAGAATCTTCAAAAAAATGTTTTTTCAAAATCTTATCTTTTCTGCAAGTGAAAACGTTTTGAAAACATTTTTAGAAAAAAATTTTTTTGTGAAAACATTTTAGAATTTTTTTTTTTTTTAAAATGATAGAAACCATTTTTAAAAAATATTTTTAGAAACTTTTTTATTTTCTTACTTGTTTCTCATCAAAATAGAGCATTTTAATGATTTTTATGGAAACCTTTTTTTTTTTTTAATTTTCAGAAAACTCCTTATTTTGAATAATTTAAAAAACAGGCTATAGTCTTACCTGTTTTTGGTGATATTTTGCAATATTTAGATAAAATATTTTTTGGAGTTT